CATCCCTTTTCATAATTCGAATTGCGAGCAATGGCAAAGGTCTAAACATTTGAGACTATGATTACGGCATCCCTTTTCATAGTTCTAAAATTGTTTAGACACACATGTGAGCTATCTAAGGAAAGGTGTATGATTTTGGGAAGCTTGGATAAAGTCTTATCGAAGCATCTCGTATCAAAAACCTGAACTTTGGTAATGAAAGTCAATAAAATATTGATTTCTAGAAGTCCAGTTGATTTCTGGATACATGTCAAAGCTAGTGGGAGCATAAGTGTTATGCTGATAAGAAGATAATTATCATGTTAGTGGGAGCATGATTATTATGTTAAGTGTTGCAAGTTAGCAATGTTAATTATAGAAAACAAAAGTTTCAATTTGCAAAGTTGCAGGGTTTGAAAAGTTGTTTTGCTATAATTAAGGGTTAGGAAATTATACTTCATTCCAATTCTAAAAGCTTAAATTGAGATTTTAATCGAATTTAGTCAAGTATATATATGAATGTTATGTTGGAATGGTTCAACATAAGGAAATTCTATATATGGAAATATTAATTGCGTTCTCAATATTCGATTATGATTACGACATCCCTCTTCATAGTCCGAATTTTGAGAACATGGCTAATAGAAAAAATTGTAGCAAAAGACTGGTCTAGGATCATGTCTTTATGTGAGACATTATGAATCGTGTCCTATATGCTTCGGGCATAGGATCGATTACATATGCTATAATATTTCTATGTGTTCTGAATTTTCCAAATACCTAGGGCATTAAGAGGGAAAAAGGATCAGAACTGTATATGACTAAAATGATTAAGCAATTATCGAGGACAATTTGAGGCTTACCATGGATTGGTTGCTCATGGACAGTTGGAAGTATAGTGTTAGTTTTGGAAGGACCATATTGGCATATTCTGAAAAGAGGCAACTCTTGTTCAGAAGTGATAGTCAAAATGGGAATATGGAAATGTTTCCTTAAGTGGAAGTTATTCTTTAAATCTATGTAAGATTAGAAAACTTAATGCAAGAAGGATGTTCAAAGGAATGTACTTTGAATGTGAGACTTCGTCTCCATGGAATTGCTCTCCATTAGAATACTTTGTAATGTCTGTTGCCAAGTCTTTGTGACTTTTGTGCATAGTCATTACAAGAGGATCATTGCATATAAGTTTACAATCTAACAGATTGGCAAAGAATCTTGTATTCTTACATTTGTCATAAGGATTTGGAATTATGAAATGAGCATCATTGAAATGTTTTCAATTGATCTATTCCACAAAGAAAGGACCATAGGTAAACATAGTGTGCATGCTTGTAGCATGGGACAACGATTGTTTTAGTTCAAGTATTAAGTTGATTATTTGTAACATTATACATTGAATAATGAGTAATCAATATGGCTCAAAAGTTTTGGGGCCATATAGGATTAGTATTATTCTTTTGTTTCACTTTGCATGTTTTGACTTTCCGAATAACTAGGTTATTCAAACCGTCCACAGTCGATCATACTTTGGAAGTAGGTATTGAGGCAAGACTGTCATGAATGGGTCTATAGTATGTCTAGATGTTTTAGACATAGCTGTAGTATTCATGAGTGCTCCTGGAATAAGATTTGAGTATTTGATTAAACTCACGCTCATTTGAATCACTTCATGGATTTTATCACGAGTGATCATGAGACGATAATATCTTATATTCTTCAAACGGAGACGTGTGAGTTGTAGTTGCAAGTCGGTTGCATATTGACATATGTAAACGCACCAGTAACTTGGATGTTATAAAACATATCGTTGTGTGTAATTTGATGAGTGAGTACAAGTGAGCATTTGGGTCGAAGTTTATCCGTTCCTTTACCCCATGTGGATAAAAGCAATATCTGTGGGCCCCTCGATGATTTAGTGATGACAATCCTAAGTGCTCGGTCGGGCCTGGACTAATTTGATTTGTTCAATTAGTCGGTCGTCATAAATCAGAAATCGGGAAACAATAGATGGACAATCCATGTCTCAGTCCATATGATATCTAGAATGGAGGAATATATGATCCCTTATCTAATGGACACGTCATTGACTAGGTCAGAGTTCGACAGCGGCTTTTAAGAGCTACAATTGCTAGTCGGGATTTGGAGTCATATTTGCAATAATAGTTTTAGATTTATCCAAGTGGGAGACTGTTGGATTAGATGTCTAAGTTCATAACTATTATTGGTATGTACTCGACTCGAGAGTAGCATGGTCCATTTGGGTTGCATAACATCAGGACAATTTGTTAGGATGGACTTTTGAGAAGAGGTTACATATGATTTATTAATATATTATAAGTTCTAATATATTAATATGAAATCATATAATTTAATTAGTATTGATCAAGAATTAGTTTGGAATTAATTTAGTGATCAAAAGAGACTAATTAAATCTATGGGGACTAATTATGGTAATTGGTTATATTTATATGTGTTGGGCTTATGGTCTATGTTGGACTAAGATTATGTATGAATACATAATGATTTGGGCCACATGTACCATGGATCATAAAACCCATGGGTATGGATTTGGGTTATACCCATGACTCTTGGAATCCTACATATAAATATAAGCTCCATAACCTAAAAATGCCACTTGGATACACTTCTAGTTCTTGGAGTTCATGGAGGTGTTTTTGGTGCATAGAAATTCTCTCTCAAGAGTCACCTTTGTCCTAGGTGTGTTGTGATTCCATTTGAGGTGCAACACTTGGGGCACTAAGTTCTTAAAGGCCAAAGTCTTCCTAGCAACATCAACAACATCAAGAGGTATGTCTAAACTTGTCTTGTTATACATATGTTATTTGTATGCTAGTTGTAGGCTTAAAGCTTTGCAAACCATATGCATGTATAATTAGAGAAAACATAGATCCAAAGATTTTAGGGTTGTATGTGCACCATAGGATGTTGTAGTATACTAAAACCCAACAGGATGATGATGGGGTTCCTTTAGGTCGGTAAGATGACGGTCGTTTGCCTATAGGCCCAACGAGGTGTTGGTTGTGAGTCTTCAGACCCCATATAGAATGGTGGTAAGAGCGGTAATGTTATGTGAGCCTATAGTTCCAGTAGATAGATGGTGTCACGAAGTATTGTGAACCTACGTGTGTGCAACTTGTGTGGGTGGACTCAGATAGTTGTTTTGTTAAGACTCATAGGTCTTTGTTCTCTATTCAATCATGATGCAGTTTGGGTGTCCAGAGCCTTGCAGGATGGCTATTAGTGACTCCGTATCTGATAGGATTTGGTCAGGCTTATTGAGGAATGTTGATTTGTCGGAAAAGGTCACGGTTGTGCATCATAAGTTCAATGTTGAACTTTTGTATTTGTGGACTCTCATATGTAAGCAAGAGCTTTATATTAGGAATTTGATTGTCAATGTTGGAGTATTGGTTCTGGAGATTACAAATCGATAAGCTCGTGATACTACCCTTGGATGATTAATCACGTAGTTAAGCGCCTGAACTAGAAGGAGAGACCGATTACGATGAGGAGTGTGAGTATTTAGTTGGTGTACTATGTTTGTTCTATGGGAAGGTGTTTTCTTGTTAGAAAGTCAAATCAAACATCAAATGTCTTTTGTGCACAGTTTTGGAATGCGGATTTCATCCAGAATGTTTGTAGTTCGACTTAGCTATGACGCTTTCTCTTCAGTGGATCATCAAAGTTCCTCGTGGGAGAATCTAGTTGGTTTATGTGTCCGTAAGATGATCGTTAGTCTTTAAGTGTAGTGTTCGGGGTGTAGACATATGACTTTCCGGTCTTGAGATTTTATCACAAGGATTTAGGATATGTTTGATACGCTTGGAGTCCATTAGTTTTGGAGTTTGTGAGCAAAGGTTATTGGAATAGAGGAATGTAGTGTCAGCTCAGGCGAAGGCGGATTTCAAAGACGAAATATGATTCTAGTAGGGGAGAATTGTAACACCTCTTTTTCCAGGTATGAAATGCTTTCGTGTTGATTTAAATTAGGTTTGAGTTTTTAGGGTTTCTGGCGGAATATAACGCGTCTTCTTAATGTCGCAATGTGGGCCACGTCATTAAGTAGCAACACGACCATGTAATGGTCGCAACGCGAAGATGACTGGGCTCTAACAATTTTCGTTTTCTGTTTTTTAATTTTTAGAAAAATGAAATAAGTTTTTATTTTCAGTTTTCATTAGAAAGTTTAGAAAAATCATTTAGTTAAAACTTATTTTTACCCCCAAAAAGTATATTTCATTATTCTAACTTATATAAATTGTCAAACACACCACTTCTATTAATTTGGTTTTAATAAATATATAATCTATATTTTTTTCATTACAATAATATTAAATAAATAAGATTATATCTATAACACTTAATTACAAGCTTTTGTAAAATTCGTTATCGTGTTTTAAAATTTCAATATGTATTTAAATTTTAATATGAATTTGATAAACAAAAAACAAACATTATATTTATAATTAATTAATATAATTTAATATATAACACAATATTATAGGTATTAAATATTACACTTAAATATATTAAATTAAATATTACACTTAAATTATAATTAGTAGATAAAAATAAACTAGAAATGTATAAATATATAAAAAGAGAAGACTAAAATTGACAACTCAAAGTTTATCCCTATTTTGATGGAATGGTGTTATACTATTCATTTCCCCCAAAATGGGGGAATAAATGGAGTATGGTTGAAGAAGAATGGGAAAAGAAATGGAGAATGAGAGTGAGTTGGAGATGCTCTGACTATTCCTAATTAAATTCCAACTTTTTACAAATTTAACCTCTCTTTATTTTTTTTCCCTTGCATTTCCCTAAGTGTGCTCTCATTTTCTCCAATATTTTTAAACCAACATTCTTTCATATCACTTAATAAAGAATAATAAATAAATAAATAAATAAATAAAACAAGACCTAATTACTTCATAGGTATAAACAAAATTACGGTTGCATACAAGATGTGATTTTCACCTCAAAACATTCATTTATTGTCATTTATCAACACTTCTAATAAAACTAGCTCCTCTTGTTTTCCTAACATTTTGTGTAACCATTAACCTTCTAAACCTTTCTTCATCATCCCACTTCTCACCCAAAGCAAACAAATCAGCAATCAAACAATAAACAGCTCCATCTTTTTCTGGATTCAACATCTCCATCACTCTATCAATCACCCTTTCTGCCATTTTAAAGTTACATTGAACTTTACAAGAAGAAAGATAAGATCCTAAGATGTTTATATTAGCATCCACCTCCATGTTTATAATAATCTCATACGCATCTTCTAACTCTCCTGCTTTCCCAAACAAATCAACCATACAACAGTAATGATGAATCTTTGGCTTTAAATCATAATCCTTCATCATTTCAAAGTACTTTCTTCCTTCATCAACTAACCCTGCATGAACACAAGCACTTAGAATCCCTGTGAAAGTGAACTCATTAGGTTTAATGTGAGATTCTTGCATTTCATGAAAAAGAGTTCTTGCTTCGTTTATGTATCCATGTTGAGCTGCTCCACAAATCAATGAAGTCCAAGAAACAACATTTGTGTATTGCATCATGTTAAACACCATAGAAGCAACCTTCAAGAATCCAGATTTTGCATACATGTTGACTAATGAAGTTCCAAGTTCCACGTTGAGATTGTATTTGTTTCTAATGATAAACCCATGAATGGATTTTCCTAGAATCAATCCGAATGTTTCCATGTGTCCACATGCGCTTAAGATTGTACACAAGGAGAAATGATCAGGTTTTAGCTTTTCGTGCATTAACATCTTGTGGAAGAGTGTTATTCCTTTTTTCTGGTAACCTGAATTGATGTATGATGCGATAATTGCAGACCAAGAAGCTGTGTTCCTTATGGGCATTTCATCAAACAAGGATCTTGCTTTGTTTAGATTTCCTGATCTTGAGAAGCCAGTGATCATGGTATTCCAGGTGACGATTGTTCTTTCAGGCATTTCATCGAACATGACACGTGCATCATCAAAACAAGCGTTTGAGTAGCCATGGAGGAGAGAGGACATGATGTAAACGTTGGATGTGAATCCGAGTTTGGAAATATGGGCATGAAGGTGACGAAGAAGAGGGAGGTTCTGCAAATGGGTACATGATGTAAGTGTGTAGAGAACGGCGAAGCTGTCCACGGGGATGGATTGACGTTGCATTTGCGTGTAGATTTGCAAAGATTTGGTGGGAGAAGATGTGTTTTTGATGGCTGAAATCCATTTTGATGATGCTGATGTTGATATTGTTGATGTTAGGAGACGAACAACTTCATAGACTAGTGGTCGCTTTAATGGGCGATACAAAACCAGTGGCATGAGTGTAACTCTAGACAGTCTAGAGGATGAAGGTTTTTTTTTTTTTTTTTTTTCGATATAAAATTGATATGGATTATAACTTATAAGCAACAAGCAAAACTAGTTGTAGAAGGTTTTAAACAAATTTATGGTATTGGTGTATTGGGTACTATTTCTTAACGTTATCACACCTAAATAACCAATACCAGTCACTCATTAAATTAAAACCAACACATGGTTTTGAAGTTGAGGAATCTATAAAGAAACTATTTTCTTTTATTTGTAAATTTATTATAATTAATTGCTTTCTAGAGTTATAAAAATATATATTTAATGGCTAACTATTAGAAATGATATATTTTACATTGTTTTTTAATACGAGAATTTAAACAATTGTAAAGATATTATTAGTATTTTTAAATGATGTTTGATTTTTTGTATTAATGTTAATACAATATTTTTTTCTTAAATAGTATTATTATTAACAACCCGACCCAAATGAAAACAAATTTCGATATGTTTATTTTCTTTTCATGTTTGAATTGGACATCTGTGACTTTGAATCCTAGATTCGATTGGTGGCTTAAAAATAAAGTAATTAAATTAAATTAGAAAAAAAAAGTGCTAGAAGTGTTATCACTCCCTACCAGATGCTAAGATTAGATGCTAAATGGAGAAAAAAATAAGATGACACTCAAAAAGTTGATGTGACAAAGTGTTAGAAGTGTTACCATTCCCCTTAGCCTTAGTGATGGTTAGTTGCTTGGCAACAAACACGTTAAAGTCAGGAGACATATGGTTTTCAAACAACGTGATCAAGAAAACGATAATGAAACCAGAGAATGTTGATATTATTGGTAATTCCACACTCATTAATCTACTAAACCATTCTACAAAATATCATCATTAAGGCGTTTGAATGCATTTGAAATCCTTAGAGTTTATGGATTGTGACACGTTATCATTCTATCTACAGACCATTCTATCAAAAAATTTCTTATATGTATCGAATTCTACAAAGTTTAATGAAACATATATTTAAAAATTAAAAAAGTTTTTTTTCATTAAAGAGTTTAGTAGTGATCATTGAAGTTAATATTCATTAAATGTCAATATGACATCTCATAATTGTAAAATTTAATTTATTGAATGTCAATTAGACATGTCACATTATTCAACTTTTTCATAAAATTATACATTATAGATGCTCATGTGGATGTTATTTGTGTGTTGCACGACCCTCAAATGTCAACCCTTAAACTAACGCTATGTATAGATAATATCACTAATTCAACGAAAACCCTTGCTAGTTAATACTTACATACGTCTTAAATCCTTAATTATTTTCCTATGTTTAATTTTTTAGATATAGATTAATAATATCATTGTAACACCCATGTATTACATGAGTTTATTTAAAAAAATTAAATATGAAAATTTTAAACATTTGAAAATGTTTGAATTTATAAGAAAAATTAGAAAAATATTGAATTATTAAAATTAAATTGTTTTTTTCTATTTTAAATTTAAACAAATAATTTAGATAAATAAATAAATGAAACTAATGAAGTTTTAATTTAGAAATGTTGAAATTAAAAGGAAAGTCAGTTATTGAAATTGATATGCATTTATTATTACATTTATTGCAATTATTACATTTAAATATTACGTGAAATTTAATAAAATGGAAAAACCTACAAAATACTATGTGGAAAAAAATTAATTGAAAATAACCACAAAATGACATGTGACCAAATCAATGAGAGTGTAAGATGTGACAAAAATATTTTTATTTATTAGAACAGATTTGATTACACATATATTCCATTTCATCTTTCAAATTTGTTGGATGACCGGTTAACTATTTAATTGGGCATTTATGCTCAAAAATCAAGAATGGTTTTATTTTAATATTATGATGGTTTTTCTAAAAGAAAGAGAGATCAAATTATAATAATTTTAATATAGTTTGCCTAATTAAAACTTTCACGGTATTTACTATTATGTTAAAAAAAAACTATTCATATATATTTAATTTACATTAATTTAATATACAATATAATACTATAAATAATTATTATTATATTCAAAATCATTTGTATATAATTTTAAAAACAAAAAACATATAAATTTAAATTTAAATAAAATTGAATAGAATACCAAATTCACAAAATGGGACGTCAATCGGAGAAAACAAAATCCTATTCGTGCCGTTAAGTTCGACCCTCCTCGACACTTTAGAACCGCCACCGCCATTCGCCACTCGCCACAGCCGCCTGCATCTTGATTAATCTCCAGCCCACTTCTTCACGAATTTTTACCTCAGCTTCATTCGTTACTCTTGCTCTAAATAATTTCACAAGATGCCACAAGGTTTTCCCTCTTAACTTTTCTTCTTTAGCTAATTTCATCAACGACTATGAGCCAAATTGATTGTATGAATGTTCTATTTTGATAGACCTTCCAGGGTTCTATTATGATGCCGAGAAGAACCGATATTTTCCTGTAAAATCACCAATTCCAGGTTCTTCTTCCAGAAACAATTCTTCTGCTTCAACCAGCGCTCAAAAACCACCCCCGAAACCCAACAACAAGGTAACACCAGCTAACCCGTAACCCTAGCACACTTCCGATACGATAATACGTATGAATTAAAGACTCGAGTTTGAACATTCATACAGACGAAATATGCAGCCAAAGTTGTTAAGATGCTTCATGTTAGGGAGTTATGTGGTAATTCAATCAGCTGTAACAAAAAAAAAGTGAACTTTCAAGAGCAATACCAAAAGATACAGACATCAAAACCTATAGTAAGTTCAACATCTGATTCTATTGAGAAACTAAAGTCTAAACATTCAATTCTGATGTAATGAATCTATATTTTGCATTAGATTTGGAAATATCAAGGGACACAGAGGATTGCTGATGCTGCATTGGAACACATATGCTTAGATGTTCAGACTCCAAATGGGCTTATTGAAACAGAAATATTACTCACTGGTGGTCTTAATGGCACCTTTTGGTATGTAATTAATTAATAATGACTCAAAATCACATTAATTCATCGTTTTCATCTCAATAGTTATGATTATCAATTTATCATCTTTTTATACTTATGGCATGCAGTTGTTATGAAGTTGGATCTATTGGAGAACATGCTATTAATGGGTTACAATGTATGCCAAATCTTGTTCATCCTATGAACATTGAAAAGGAAACAGCATCATTAAAGTCACCAGGACTTATTTGGAGGCCAATTGGAGCTTTAGTTCAAATGCCTTCAAATGTATCTTGTATAAACTTACCAAGAAACCACCATTCTATTGATTCATCAACTTCACATGCTTTGTATCCTTCACATAGTTTTGTTTATTATAGCATCCTAATTTCATTTCTTGAAATAAGAAAAAGATTGAAAGTAAAATAAATTATGTTGCTCTTTAACTGAAAAGCAAATAGAATAACTACACTTGGATCTGAATCATCTGGTGGATCGGTTTATTCAATGAACATTAGTGAACCATTGGAATATGATTTAGGAGTTGCAATGTTGAGTAGAAGAATTGATGAGATTTCAAGATTCAAATCCACAATTTGGACATCTGATTCCAATGGGAATCAAGCAGTCATTGGTAAGGTTTGTTTTGTTTTATATTAATGAATTCAATGTTGGCTTCTACTTTCGTTTCTTGTATACATTTTATTTATTAACAATTTGGAATTTTTAGGCACGAATATTGGAGTTGCATTGGTGAACATAGACTCTGGAAGAAAATCATGGATATGTCGTTCCAAAAGTGATGTTTTGTCTTTGCAATTTGATTCTTCGGTAAGAACATGATGTGAATTGAATGCAAGAAATAGCAAATGTACTTTTGCTGATGTGTTATTGTTTATGAATTTAGGGAAATAATGTTTTATGTGGATTTAGAAATGGAAGTATTGTGAATATTGACACTCGCGAAAAATCTCAAGACTTTCATGATACAAATACAACACTTCCTAGACATCAAATTCCTCTTCCATCAAGAGGTCAAAAACGTGAGAAACAATGGTTTGAGGTAAATTTACTTGTTTGCCCTTCCTTCCCTTCTTCTAAACGGCGTTTAGTTCGTTTGATTATGTTGAAAATTACTCAAATACCCTTTTAACCGTGGAACAACCTTTCCTCCTTCAAATTCACAAAATTTAACCGAAGGATCTGTACTAAAACCCATGGAACAACATTAAAATTACTCAAATACCCTTTTTTTAACTGAATTTCATTGATTGTAATATGAGTGTGAAGTATTTTCATATGCAGCTCAGAGGGAATATTCATCAATCTAGAACAATCTCTATGCCTTCATCAGTTTCATGGTTAGTAAACAAATATTCAAACTTCATTAATCTTTATTTTTTATTTTTTTTTTATATTTTTTTAATTAAATGCAACAAAAAAGCAACGTATTTCATAAATTTTCTTTATTATAGCATCCCACTTTCATTTCTTCCTATTACAACATTCTACTTTGAAAAATCTACCCATATATATATTATATAGCAATGTCATTGAGTATAATAATATCCTCATAAGAAATAAAATCCTAAACTATGTAGATTTTTCAAAGTAATAAAAAGGTGGAAGAAAATGAAAATAAGCTGCTATAAATTATAGGGAAATCTCCGATAAAGTCCCAATATTTTGGGCTAGTTTACAGTTTAATCCCAACATTTATTTTTCGAACAGAAACGTCCCGATTATTTTATATTTTGCTCAAATTAACGAAAAAGTCATTATTTTTTTTCAACAAGAAATGACAGATTATCGTATAAAATCAGATAATCGGGACTTTTCTGTTCGAAAAATAAATGTTGGGATTAAACCGTAAACTGACCCAAAATATTGAGACTTTATCGGAGATTTCCCTAAATTATAATACATAAATAAATGAAAGTGTGTTGCTATTTCTTTCATTATTCATGAAAATAAATAAATTTGTTGCAGTTTGGCGGGACTTAAGACGTATGATGATTATTTC